ATTTCTGGCAGTCAAATTGAATTTCTTTGATTATTTTATGGGGAAATAAAAGTACCAGAAAGAGCTGATTATAACATTTTTTGCTGACATGTAATGCAGTATGTCAGCATGTCAAGTAACAGTGCTGATTCAACGAGAGGAGATAGCTGGCAGCTTTGCCTTTTGATAACTTTGTGTTAAACTGTCAATCGGTGTGGAAAACTAGAGGGATAAAAGTATAGTCTCTTTAGCGGTTTATTCACACCAACGTGGCCTCTTTCACAGCGAAAGGTTAAAGTAAACTATTCAACCGATAAAACAACTAAACCAGAAAAATGTCAATAACTGGATACTCCCTGAATGAAAACAGAGCAATAACTGTTCATTATTCGGTTTCGGTTCAGCCCAGCTGCAGTCAGTCCTTGCCCTTGTTTTACAATGAGGGTCAACTGACCTTACTGCACACTAAAAAGAAAACACATAAAACTCTTGTCTCCTCTTCCTGTAAGTTTCAGCTGGGGCTGAACCATAGCCCCTCCGGCAGTCCTGCCGTTGTTCTTCTGTAGTCTCTCCTGACGTCAGACAGTTATTTGAAGAGGGTCTGCGGCTCCTGGTCGGGTTTCCCGCAGGCCCAGAGGCTCAGCCTATCTCCCTGACCCCCCGGGAAGCAGAGGTCACGCATGAGAGAGGAGAATGAAAAGGGCCACTCCTCTGATTTATGACCCGATGTAGCTATAGGATACCTGCAGCTCAGGAACGGTTTTTGTTACTGAGGTGGGGGTACACCAAAGCAGATTCCCCCAGCACCTCCTGCCAACAACGGTTTTAGATTTCGGCCATTTAGAGGTAGAAGCTTGGCATTCAGACTCAAAGGGACAGTAGCTGAAATAGTGAAACTGGATTTTGAAATTGCTTTGCAGTGTATTAAAACAATAAGCAGGTTCAACACTGTTATCGTTTATTTTTGACTGATTCTCTGGTAGGTTTCATTCCCAGATGTGAGCCAGCTGTTGGATTTTGGAAGACCATTACATAACTGATTCTGCTGCTGCTTCTTCAGATCATTCCAGTCATTCTTTGGACTCTATGAGGACTTTATTTTAGTCTCTGAGTTGTGAGTCAATCTGTGATTGTATCTGATCAAAAACCCACTCCTGTTTCACCTGCTTTTCAAGTCCCTAAACGACATATTATGTCTTTTTTTAAAGAAAAAGTTCAAACAAGCAAGTCATTTGTTTGTATTATTTTAATATAACGTGTAGCTTCATCCTAAACTTTGTTGTAGAATTGGTGTTGTTCAATCATTCATGGTGCCTGAATGCTAACAGAGTGATAGGCTTACTGTAAGACTTTCAGCCAGTCAGCAAACAGCCTGACCTTTATCAACTGGTTTAGTGTCACGATTATCCGTTCAGCATGACTTTAGTTTTGTTATAAAAGATAACCTAGTTTACTGATGGAGTAACAGGGGCACGCAAAGATGGCTTGTTGCTCTCATACACAACATGAATTACAAGTCATTAAGCTATAGATCCAATATTTATGTATTATTCCCCCACATGTAAAAGGGGGGGTTTAAGGGTGGGTAGATTTGAAAAAGATATGAATTTAGTGGCATTTAGAAGTGTAGTATTAATAGTTATGAATATTATATTCCATTCCTAACAATCCTACTTAATGTTACACACTAGACCTTTATCTTATTTTACCTTTTTGCGCGAAACAAATTATACGAGACATGCCAGCAGATATCAGTCAAACTAAGACTTTCAAATGATACTGAAATTTTAACTTAAACAGAAAGCTATTTTTCCCCACAACATTGCAAACTTTTCTTTGTTCCCTCACATTCTCAATTTCCAGCTCTAAGTGGGTCCACAAGTTTTGGTCTTGTATTTCACTGTGAGACATTAGTCTCCGTCAACAAGACACTCAAATATCAACCAAATTTAGTTTGCATACTGACATCATTGAGCATATCTCAGTGTTTTGGACTTTATTCTAAAAGTCTAGTCAGAATCAGCATGTACAAGTATTCTGGAACTGGGACACAGCTTTTGTCCTCACCAGTGTTTAGTCCCCCATGCTTGTAGCTTTTTGATGTATTTAGCACATCACTGATGAAACTGCACCATTGGTAACAGCTGCTAATTGGCTAATGTGTATTATTCTTGTCCTGGCGGATCATACAGACCTGTGTGCTAATTTTGAGTGTGTTCAGCCTCTCTGTCCCTGAGTCATGAGCTGAGCTTCTCTCAAGCGTAGACATCCACAGTCTGCTGAAGCTACTGGCGCAGAAGAACTAGGCCAGATTTGACACACTTCACAACCCATGCTAGCCCTGACACACATTATTGTTTCTCAGAGCACAGAGGAAAAATCCCAGCTACAAATGCACCACAGTTTGAGGCCACTCTGACTGTTAGTATTTGACCTGAGTTGTTATCAACAGCTGGACTGGAGGTTTGTAAACCAAAAGAAGCTCATGTTCTGCCTGCCTGTGCGATATGACACTGAAAAAATCTTGTTATGACAGTTGCCTGAAGCGGTCAAGACAATAAGTTTAAAACTTCAGGCAAAGAAGGAATATGATTTTCATTTGTTGTTGTTATGCTTTTGTGGCAGTAAGGGCGTTTAAGCAAGGCACTTACAAAATGAACAAAGTAAACCCACAACTGCTTGTGTGAATTATAAACAGTTTAATTTAGGACATTTGTGGCTCATTGCATTGCTTAGAAACATTTTTGTGAAGTTTCAAGAGATGCTTTATTCAGTTAAAAGTCAGAACTGGGTCAGAACTTTGCTAGACAGGATTTGCTGGTGGGCAAAAGTGTAGAGCAGGAGGTCTTTGGACCCCCTGTGGTGTTTTTTAATGTGAGTGAAAAAACCACATCAGCAGCATCAAAGCCTGGAGTGATGGATTTCTGCCAGTTTATCACCCACTTTTTAAACTACCAGGCATTTTTTTGCCAGCACACTTAGTATGTCTCAAACTGGTAGACCAACTCGACTTTCACTTTAACATTAGACCAACCTAAAACCCGACATTCCTGTAATAATAAGAAATGAATTGTCTTCTACAGTGCCAGCTGTTGTCTGTTTATTTCCAGGCAGACTGAGGAAGAAAAGGCCAAACCCAAAACATGACCATATGTTTAAACCTTGTCCTATGAACCTAAAACAGGATGTCACAGCAGGCCCTCCGGTCAGAGTAACTGACATAGACACAGGCGCACAGGAGGGCTATTGTTTTGTTCTGCTTTGGGAAAGATGGACTGAGGAAAAGGGAAGTGTTGTAAGGGATACAGAAATGTGATGTGTGTAGTTACATTGTTTGCGTTATTGTTAACGCTATATAAAGAAAAAAACCCAGCTAGCAAAATTTTGTTCAGTGTCTGCATAACAGATCCCAATGAATGTGTCAGATTTGTGTATCCTTAAATGCCCTAACACCATTTTGGTCTTCTTTAAAGGGTAAGAAATAGGAATCACATATTTTTTCTTTTGTGAATTTGAAGTCTTTCTTCAAGCTGAACAACTGATGAAGTCATCTTCAGACAAACCCTGGAGCCGCTCCATGGATGGTGAATAATGGAACAAGTTGTAGTCGGAGAGCAGACATGGTGCTTTTATTGGGATATGAAGACATTCATGTAATTCACATCTGTCAGAGAAGAAATAAATACAGCTCATTTGGATATTTTAAAATCTAGTTTGACAAATGGGAAAAATGATACCACTTTATTGTCTGCACAGTAAATATATAGCCTGAGCCTAGTTAGCAATTAGCCTTAGCTTAAAGAGGGTAAGCAGGTAAAAAAATGCTCCTACAAACACTATAAGGTACAAAAACCAGAGTACCAATGTCAGTTAGCCGTGCCGTCCTGCTTCTTGGCGAGGACTAGTAACCTCTTGGGGTTTGCACTGGTTGCCTGGCAACAAATGCCAAATTGTAATTTTTACACTTTGTTTTTTGGACGGATTAAACAGACGAGATACGACATGTTAATTATTTTTAATATATAGTTATATATTTTGTTACCAAGCAAGCTCTTTTCCCCTGTTTCAAGTCTTTGTGCTATGCTAAGCTAACCCGCTGCTGGCTGCATCTATACATATTTTCTGTACATGTTATAGCATGTTTGTTTAATCTGTACACAAACAGAAATCTAAATACATAAGAAATTTTATGGGGAAAACATGCTGTTAACTATAGGTTAGCTATTTCCCCTGCTTATAGTCTTTATGCTAAGCTAAGCTAATTGCTAGCTCCATACTTGATGGAAAGACCACCAACTTACCAACAATGGAACAACTCCAAAAAGTGTCACCTGATATTTTCACCTCAAGATTTCAAGCTCTGACCTCCAGCCATGTCAGCATAAAATAAGAATAGTTTTACAGTTTTTTTCCCTTAAGGTTTGAGGACATTGTGTGCTGGTGCATGTGGAAACAAAAGCTGACTCAGGTCTAAAAAGGAGAGAAAAGACAAAGTGCCAGGAGGAGTCTGCAGACAGGGTGGAGGGTCTGCGCTCGGACGGCGTAGACATAGCATCAGGGCCACACAGAGGCCTCCTTGTCTACAAACACAACCTGTTGCAACTCACTCAAGAGCATACTATGCAGGGAATGCTAAAAGGATTAGCACGTAGCCACTTGAGATAATGTGAAAAAGGAGACGTGATGTGGTGGAGGGAGGCAACAAAGAGTCAAGGACGAGACAGCGTCACAACACTGAATCAGTCGAGCATTACCCTCTAAGAAGATTAGAGAACAACTAAGTCACAGCTTTTTCTGGATGTCTTTATATTCACTGCTCTTTGTTTCTAATTTAATTAAATATTTAACTTACACTTACTGGATTTTCATTGAGTAGTGAAAATGTAAGTATTACTTATTCAGAAAACCTATGTGTGCTAGAATTGGTACATTGTTAATTTTTCATCATATCCCCCAAAACACAACAAAGACAATAAATAAAAGACCTTCACACAAATATTTCTTTCTTTGTGTTTATTTGCTGTGTACATCATACACAAACGTCTTTGGAATAAAAACCAAATCTCTCATATATATCAAATAAAAAAGAGATTCAGAATTTTATGGAGCCACTTTGTAAACATGCAACCAAATGGTTTTTTAACAGGGAGATATAAAACCAAAAAACGTCCAGTTGAAGGAGTTTCAGGAGTGTGCCATGCTGATGATAAATACAGAAGAAGAAGAAAAAAAACCATATCAAAGCTGCAAGTAATTGTGTTAATTTATCACATGTACAAATATAACCTTGGGTTCAGTAATGCCTATCAGTCTAACCTCCACATACCTTGGCAGACCCCCAGTTCATATATCAGTGGCATCCTCCAGGCCAACCAATAGAAATGACCTTTCATGGAGATAAAGTGAGAATCACTAAAGGATGGATGAAGTGAGGTAGGATCTCTGGTTATCAGAGAAAGGAGGGCAGCTTCAGCCTCCCCTTCTTGTTTTGATGGTAAACGGGCTGACTGAGCCAGCTGGGAAGGTTAAATGTCTGTAAACTGCCAGATGGTACAAGTGACATCCTAAAACATTTCACAGCAAGGGTTTGACAACTTGAGCTCCTTTACTTTTGGAGGTGAATATATTACTTTATGAAAAAAATTGTCTTCATTTTTCTAACTTCTTTTGTGAGATAAAAATTCTCATTGTGTTATATATTTGGTTGCAAAAGTCCAGTTTTGCTCTCACAGGAATCTTTCCCTGTTAATAATCTCTGCAGTTCTTTAGCTTACACAGTTGTGAGCACACTCATAAAGCATTAGCTGTGGTGATCAATGACCAATGTGTCACACGTGATTATTAGACAGTGTATACTGTGTGAGAATTTACCCTCTTTATGGTTAAGAAAATAAGATGAAAATTACTGGCCAGGCATGGCTCTTACACAATGCAGGTGCTCCTTTGAATCCAGCTCAGTGTTTAACGATATACGAGATGAATCTCTGTAAAGAGTCAACTATATCTCTATCTTTCATTTCCTCTCTCTCTGTCCAGTTCAGTGCATTAACAACCCCACAGGGGTGCCTCGCATGTTTGTTCCAACGCCTGCGTTTAAGGAGTAAAAAAAAGCAACACACAAACTAAACTGGGACAGATCCAAATGAGGTACTCATGGTTCACTTCACACTCACACAACAGTTTTCCAGTTTAGAAAAAACATAGCTTAGTGGTTTTCCATTTTAATTTAGTCATTAAGGGAGAGTGTTTGTGTCAAGGACACTAAACTGTGTCCGCTGTGTCATGACTAACATACACTTATGTGCCTTGTGAGGGGTCACAGGGGCTGATTTCAGATCAGTTCTGAATCTAGTTCGGTCAATAACTGAAAAGAAGCTACAAATGGAGGACAGTCCACTCTAAACACAGCCACACACACACACACAGATACCAAAACATTTTGCTGGGAGAAATTGTTTCATTCACCAGTATACCCACACAATGCTTCCATAGGATCTATAAATACAATATATCAATTTGACAAGACCAGTAGCAGTTGTTGTCCTCTCATTTGAAGAAACAGTCTCTTTGGAGTCGGGAGAGCAAGGAAGTAAAGGTTATTGTGTGCCATGGACTGCTAACTCTACCTGCAGACATTAGCGGCTGAAACAGACCATAAGTCAACTGTCAATGTCACTCATTAGACTCTTGGCACTCCATGGCACATGGTTCCTTGTCCCGATATTAAACAGTAGACTCTTTGGGTCCCTCTCGAGCAGCATTCTTACATCCGTAAAGCCACTTGATGACACGAGCGTTTCTCTCAATGATTGACACACCAGTAGGAAGTTGCTCAGCCAGCTCTTCCTGAAACAGCCCATCTCCTGAGTGCCGGGAAAACTCGCTGGGCTCTGAGCCACCGCAGCCGTCCCCTCCTACACTGCGGAGGGCCAGTGACAGTGTGTCTATGGAGCTGGCACCGGAGAGGAAATTCTGTCGACCGAGTCGCTCTATCATGTCCATGTCCAGCCCGCAGTAGTCAAAGAAATGCTCCTGCTCTGATAACGCCACTGAGCAGCGCAGACGCAAGTCTGACTTGGAGCGCCACAACTCCCCAAACCGCCTTCTGGGCGCTGGTTGGGGTGACGCCCGCTTCCATGGATCATTCTCATCATCATGGTTGCTTGAGTGGTTGCCATTAGTGATACCATTGTTAACTCCATCACTGGTACCATTTGTAAATCCATTCTTACTCCGTTCAAGTGTACAGCCAAATCCAGGACTGGACATAGACCCTGGACTGCGTTCTTGGTCAGTTTTACTTGACCTCCTGCTCCCTAGTCCACCATCCATCGTGTCTTTGTCATTGGTCCAAGACATGCGGGAGTCTCCATCCCGTGATGGCGCTTTCTCTTCACTGATCACCATCTTCTGTATTCTGCCTTCACCTCCGCTACTCTTCTCTCTCATAGAGCCCTGGAAGAGACGACGGACGAAACTGTAGCCCTTGACCTCCATGTTATTGTTCTCTCCAACTGCTGCACCACTTGGGCTCTTGCATTCTTTCTTCTGCCTATAAATGACGAGGGAGTCTGGCCTCAGCAAGCGTTTACCTGTACTTCTCCTGAGTACTGGGGCACTGTGTGGCGCTACCAAGCTTTGATTTCCAGGAGTCCTGGGGTTGGGAGGCATTACATTGTTCACATTGCTCCTGTTATGTGCCTCAACGTCAACAGAAGTCCGTCTGTTCTCCTTCCTGGAGTCATCATTTTCATTTTCATCTCTTGAGGTGAAGGAGCCAGACAGTGTAGAGAAGGCAGTGTTGGATGAACGACGTGGGGGAAGACGAGGCGTCAGGCTACCAGGAACGGAAATAGCTCGCCGGGGCTGTGGTGGTGGGGTAGCACAGGGCACCAGTACAGGCTCCTGTTTGGTGTTGATCACCTGCTGGCTCTTAACATATTTGGCTTTGTCTGCCTCGAGCCTCTCCACAGCGCTGACAGAGCGGCCGTGGCCTCCACCATCTATCTGTCTGCGCAGGTAGTCTGGACCCTTGTTGAGGAGCCTCAGAGGAGAAGGGGATCCAATTGGCGTTAGGGGCTTCATGTTGATTCACTGAGCTGGGAAAGACATCAAAACTGCAGCCCCCAAATGACTGACAGCTTGACAACAGTGAGCAGTTGTTGGCCCTTTGAAGATTTCAGCCCTAGTGAGAGTGAAAAGTTGCTATGTGTAGAAAACGGTGGTAGCTCTCATTCCTGTTCACACAGCTCTTGAATCTTCCTTGAGGGGTAATAGATAGGTAGCAATTCGGGAGACCACACAGTCGAAGTTTGTTGTAAGGTTGTCTATAGATAGCTTACAGTCTCTTTGTTGGGCAATGTTAAAGCCTAGACAAATTGATATCTCTATCCAGTATTTATACAGGCATTTGGATAGGCAGGCAGGGCACAGGGAAGTCCTTTTTTTGTCAGCCAAGAGCACTCCCAAATGAGACGCTCCCTGCCCACAGTGCAGCAGAAATAGCTGGCAGGGTGCGCTTTGAAAGGGTTATTTTTTTCCTCCCCCACTTTTTCTTCTCTCTTTCTGTCTCCCAACAACACCCTTCACTGTTGATCTTTTCAGTGACGGCCGCCTGGAGAAATTAGATATAATGGCCTCAAATATTTGCTTTGTGCAGGTTGTCTGAGGGACGCTGGGTCAAGACTTTTGTTGTTTGGCGCCCGTCGCGGTTGAGGTGACCTGAGGGTGGCCGGCACCAAGGCACTTGATTCGTTGATGGACAGATGGGGCAGATGCAGATTTTGTCCTTGTCCTCACCTCACCTGCGTAGACCCCTGGGAGACACAGAGAGAGAAGGAGTGGTTTTAGTTGGAAGTGTTATTCTCCAGAGCAAGCAACAGAGACCAGATGGCAAGAAGGACGGTGGTCCCTAAAGCTCAGTTCAGTTTGTGCTTATTTAGAGCTGGAGGGAGTTACATGTCTGGAGCAGGCAGCGAAGCAGAGATGACACGTGTAAGCGTTTAATGACCCTCTATCTTACACATTAAATACAATAATCATGCTACTTTTAGACAAACAGCTGGCACTCCAATCTAAGTCAAAAGTAAAAAAGTGTAAGGGTTCAACTACAGATTACGTTGGCTGCTGAAACAGTACAAAGTAGGGATGATTGATGGAAATATTATCAAAATCACAATATGTCTAAGTGCAATATCCGAATCACAGAAGCTGCGATTTAGGTAAAATGTGTGACAAACAGCATGATACTGAAGTACTGTAGTGCTGCAGAGATGCCCTGTCCTATAAATCTTGTTCTCCATATTTAAGAAAACATGTTTGTTTGGTACAGAACCCGACAAATGTCACATCAACATTTTTTTTAATAGTTTTTTCAGTTAAAATGAAAATTGTGATGCAAAAATTATCATTCCCACTAATCGTGAATCATATTGCAATATATTTTAAAATGATCCCAATCTATTTTTTTTTTAAACCACATTACAAAGCGGAATAAGAACAAACCACATCGGTCACTGAATGTGGTATAAGCACTTTCATAAATGTGAACACAGATCATATGAATTAAAAAAGCACATATTTGTGTTTCTACACAAGCATTTCTTTATTTCTAGTCAGTAATTTATGTTTATTTTTAAAATGATAAATGTCTGTTGTCCAGACACTACTGCAGCATCCTGTAAGTGTTGGATGAATGATGAATAGATGAAACAATGTCTGTTGTCCAGGCTCATGATGGTGTGTCTGCCTGTAACAGTTTTCTGCACAGGAAGCTGTTGTCAATGTTTCCCATGTTTCATATTTGCTTAAAGATGAAAGGCTTCAAAAAAGTATGCAACATCCTGTATGACTGATCATTGAGAAAACCTGGCAAGCAAAGGGAAAGCTCAGGGATTTTATTGTAGTTTTAAAAGGACATTTTTAAAATCAATGTTGTATATTCGACTTATTTTTTTCTCCTATAACATATTATCGCTACAAGCAGTAGCAACTGTCTTGGCACCAACTCCTCTGTCTGTCACAGCCATTGCATTAACACACGAGGATAAGTAACTCAAGGGGTGGAAATCTGTCAGAAAAATTTCGTTTTTTGACAGATCAGTGTAGCTGACCGCTTTAAAGTTTTAAACATCTCTACAGAAAACTAGACAGAGTTTGGTGCAATTTAAACATCCTGCTTAAATCAATCAATACACTTCTGAAGTTATAACCCCTTTGTAGTCCCAGTTAAACAGCTTGTTCTACAAATTAACAAGCCACTAAAAAAGTTAAATTACACTTTAAAACCAAACCAAATAAAGCTTGACTCTGTGAAATGGTGCCAGATTTTGTATTTATGATGTGTTCTGTGAAGAGACACGTTTCATATCTGTCAAGTTTTCATGCTATATGAGGATTTGGAAGGGGGAAGTGAGGGGGGGAGGAGGCTGCACGTGTCTATAATGGGATAGGCTCTACCCGAGGAGTATTTATAGAATGAAAACATCCCAGCGCAGTTATCGTGTGTCTATGTGAGTGTGCATGTATGTGTGTATGGGCATGCGGTCATGGGTTTATTTGCTCTAGTTTCGCGCCTGAGCTTATAAACAGGCGTGTGTGTCAGCACGAGGCAATAAGAGGTTTCCCTGTAAATGAAGGAGGCTGGCCTGCAGAATGTAAAGCCTTTCTCTTATTCTGCACCTTTTTCACATCCACAAAAAGAAGCAGTGAGTTTGCCATGTGCAAACTGCGAAGACAAAGAACACTTCTTTTAAACTTGAACCTGTTATAAATACCCAGAGTCACAGGTGAAGCCTGTTTTTCATTCACATCCCTTCAAAATGAGTCCATCTGGAGAGATAAATGCGTCTTGTGCTGTGCGAGACGGCAGGAGGGTGTTATATTGTTGTGCTTATTGTTCCCTCAGGTCTGCCTCAAGTGTTATCAAATGCTATTTTAACTTTTCTTTCACATGAGGTAAAACAATGAACAACCTCCTTTGGCAGGAAAAAGGATCCATGTCTCATGATTTGAGACAAACCCACACAAACACCAGTGATAGCGGTGAACACAGCAGACACTTAACCCCAGGTTTTCCGTCTTACATTTATAAAGCATTTTTGATTGTAAATAATAGTGTGGCAGAATGACAAGCAATGAAGGAAACCAAATCATTTAGTCTCGCACTCATTTTCTATGAATATTCTGCCATTTGGGGAAGATAATTTCAATTAGTTCCAATGCAGATTCTCATATTTATGGAGTTTTCTACAGATAGGTGTAAGAATAAGAAGAATAACTGGTTTGTTTAACAAAAATAACTTTAGGACTCAATAATAAATGTAATTACTGGCTAAAATGGAGAGAAGATGGGTTATTAATTTTTAATTGTTTGCTGTGCTGTGTGCTATTAAAAAGCTTAAGATAAAGTTATAAACCAAAGTAACCAAACTCAAACTAATCCGTAAAACACCAAATCACCAGCAGTGGGTTTATGAACATGAATATATTTATCAAATTATGAAGTTTTACATAAGAAGAGTTGAATATACCAGCACATTTGTTTTATTTGGCTTACAAAATAAGCCCATTAGCTACGATTAAAGAAACACTAATTACAAAACCATACAATCCCTAAAATGCTCTCCATGGCCCACTGTTCAGTATGACTATTAGTATCACTCTCTGGTCTGCTGCTACTAAATACTAAATTACTGCTGACACATTGCAGAGAAGCTCTAGCCTGTAAAGGAGCATAACACTATAAATTCACTGAGAAAGAGGGGCGACAGCCAGCTAGTTGTTTTTTCCAGATGTCGGGCTGTCAGAGTTCGGGAAAGTCAGTCATTGTTTACGTAGAGTTCCGGGAAAAATGTCTCGCAACAGGTGTGGAAGAAAGGGTTTGGATTGGGCATGAAACAAGAAAAAAGGGGTAGAAAATGAGGAGGAAGAGGAAATAGGGGTTAGGGTGTGTGGCTGCGGTATTTATTAGACACATTTCTTCCGGAAGGAACTGTTCCCCGCCTGTGATCAAAATGGTAATGCTATTGAAGCATTAAAGGGGATTATCGCCACAGGAGCCTAAACAAAGTCATTATTCCTGATGTTGGCTTTCCATTGAGGGGGATGGGGGTAAAGTACGCAAAATAAGAAGAAGACTACAGAACACTTGAGCACTTGAAATCCACAAGAATATGGGCAATATCCCTATTTGGACTACTTAGAATGTATTTCTTTAGTTCTACTCTTCATGGTAGCGTGCATTCATTGAAGCGGACATTCCGAGCTTGAAGGAAAACAGCCACTTTCAGAGGTTATCTCTTGCTCTAAGTGCTATCTCGGACAGCATATGACTAAATCTGAGTCACAATGCTAACCCATGGTTGTTTGGGACAATAGCAGGAAATGGTGCTTGATATAGAATATAAGTTATTCTACATACATTCATAAAATGCTAATAAAAAGCTAGTGGAAGATATTTACATGATGAAAGGGTTACACACACACACACACACAAACACGCATACAAATTGAACCAGTGACTCAACTGGGATCTGCTGGAGAACAATGAGGTCCATTGACCATAATGAGCCAAATTAGTACCCAGCACCTTCTCCTATCATCTCAAGGTTTGTGAAAAGCGTGAGATGAATCTTTCTCATGTTACTCGACCTCCTCTGTCTCTAACTGTAGGTTGTCATTAACCTCTAAACCCCTCCCTTCTTTGTTATCTCTATAGTGAGCACCCCCCACCCTCTGCTTCCTAATGCTACCTAACCTTGTGTCGTTGATTCCCCTGCACTCTCCTGCCCTCCCTCCCACCCTTCATCTCTCTACATCTCCTTACATCTCCTGTATACGCCACAGGGCCTCCGTACCCTGTCATTTCCCTCCCTACTCTCTCCTTCCTGTATACACCCTGTGTAACTACCCTCTCTCTGTCTCTGAATATCTCTCCTGCTCTATTTACTGCATACTCTCTGTATCTGCGTGAGGATTGTGTTCATATATCGATGCTGGTATTTAAGAAGTAACCTATATTTTCATATGGAACAGTGGGTCAAGATGCCCCTAAGGGTTGCAAGATAAATGTGAGGGGTCATGGTATGATTAATAAAATAGGACAGAAGAAAAAAACAAACATTTTTGTCCCTCAAATGTAATTTCTTTCTAACTTTTCTGAAATTTTTATGAATTTAAAAGCTTATTTCTTGAGAAACACTGGAGAGTTTTACCTCGTCTGAACTCCAAAACTAATAAAATGAAACAATCTGAAAAGGGAAAATCTCACTTTTGTTAAAGCGGTCACAGTTAAGTGGTCATGTGGAGGCATTGGTTGGTTTTAAATGGTCACAAATCAATAAGTGTTTAGAATCATATTGATCTTTCAAAAGAAACATCTTTCCAGTTAGTTACTAGTTAGCTAGTTACAAAACAAAAGTGCAAGTTCCCTCTGTAGCTGTGTGCTCTTTTAAAAAGCCAGACTGAAAAAAAAAAGGGACGGCCGTCATAGAGAGGGGAGAGACACACACAAAGGTTCAAATAGGGATAACAATCTCTCCTCATTAGAATACATGTTGTTGTTCTGTTGAACACACGGCTAGTGATGGAAGTAGAGAGCTAGACAGAGAAGTGCGTTGGTTACTGCCTCACCTCTGCACACCTGCAAACTTATCCAATTGTCTCAAAAGTTACATATTGTGATGTCAGGAAGATGTTGTCGGGTGAGGTTTCAATGATTCGACAAGCACTTCATTTGAAGCATGTTGGTCCTTTAATAACTTAATATGTATTACACAGCTCTATGTTAGTCTTTTGGCAGGAGGTGTGCAGCTTG